CGCTGGATGCACACAGGGCAGCTCGGGATGCACACACAGGGCAGCTCTGGATGCACACACAGGCCAGCTCTGGATGCACACAGGCCAGCTCTGGATGCACACACAGGGTGGCTCTGGATGCACACAGGCTGTGCTCCCTGAGCGCACGCGTCGCCTCGGGGCAGCAGAGGAAGGAAGCAGTGCCAGCCTGCACCAGGTGAGCATGCTTTAACCCCATGGGCAGTCTAGGCTCCAACTAGCTTCTGTCCTTCACCACGCCCTTACAAAGGCTGTGGCCTCTCTCCCACTCCAGCCTGTGCCAGAGCACCTGGGCAGCCAACACTCTGCTCCCCAGCTCCACAGGGTGCAGGCTGCTGAGGCAGGAGCCAGCCCTGCCCTGCACCAGCCTGGCAGCTCTGGGTGGAGGTGCCCACAGAACCTGCAGTGCCCTCCACCCAGGCAAAGGCAGAACAGAAGCCCCGACAAAGCACAGCCACCACGTGGTGCAGTGCCCTGGGGTAAGGAGGGCTCAGCTGAGATTTCTGCTTTCTCAAGCTGCAGTAAGTCCTGGTATGAGCAGTGGATCCAAATCCCCTGTAAACTTTAGGGTCTGATCTTCCTGGGAAATTCTTGCTCTTTTGCCAAGGGGAATAAAACTGAACATGCTGTTTGAAAACTATCTCAAATGCCTCCTTGCATGCAAGGAGTTTGTATTCACTGATGACATGAGGTGGTTTGGTGCTTGGGAATTCATTTAGTTTCCTTGGAAGGGCCTTTATTTATCCATTGTTAAGTTCTTGCTTCCCAGCCAGGAAAACTTAGCCCAGGGAGTTCTTGGGGTACTTAAGTGTTGAGTTTATGGTTGGTTTTTTGCTAATAACAACATTATGAGTAAGCAGTGTGGCCAATAAAAATATCCTCACTTCAGGAGCAAAACTGCTCTTGGCTAGTCAAGCAATCCTTTTGCTTTTAGTCTCAGTTTGCAAGCCCAGGGGAGTATTTTGAAAACCTCCTCTGCAAAACACAGAGTAAATATAAATAAGATTCCCCACTTCTACTCATTTCCAGTAAGATAACAAGTTTCACTGCATTAAGGAAACCTACAGTAAGTTGTACCTGTTGATCACAATTATCACAGAGTGAAATTTTGTTGTAAGGTTTTTTTTTCCGCCTACAGAATCCTGGTAGTCTGTTCCCTTCAGTCACTTTCCAGGATATTACCTCCAGGTTTTCTTTGTTTTTTGTTTTTTTCTTTATTAAACAAAGCAGAACAAAGGCACTTACTGTTATCATGCCTGTGTCCTGGATAGATAATTCTGAACACATAGTCTGTGGAAGTGTCTTCAGCTGACATTTCCTCTAGCTCCACTGACTTGTTGCTGTTCCGTTTTCGAAGCTTTGGAAATACCTTACCCTAGAAAAAATGATTCCATACATTCAGCTCCAAATGACTAACAGAGAACAACAGACTAAGTACTGCAGATCTTTGGCATCTTAAATCTCAAAACTGAATTTCCGATGTTGGGAGGAGGCAAGGGAGAGATCAACAGCAAAACTGGATGTACCAGGTGGCTCAGGGGTACTTAGCTTTTCTGTGCACTTAAACCAGCTTTCTCTTGTAATCCATGGGAGCTGGGCACCAGATTCTCCAACAACCCAAGCCTCTGACAGCAAGTATGTCCCAGTCCATTTGAGTCTCAGTCCCTATCATTTGGGTTCATACTTTGAGCAAAAAACTGGAATCTGCTGTTATATCAATGGAGTAATGAAGGTTTGAACAATTTTTATAGACTGTGTAAGAACCAAACTGGTCTAAGTGGAGTTATTTTGCCTCACACTTCACTATGAAGCAGCTGGAAGTCAATGCCCAGACTTTGTGGAGCAGGATGCTGGTTAAACAAAGACATGAAGATCAGCCCCACCTACTGCAAGCAGCTCACCAGAGAGGCAGTACCTTGCCCTGTTGGGACCAGAGTGGTGGTTCCAGCTGACCACGAGGCAGGAGACCGTTTTCCAGGCAGGAGAGAAACGCGAGGAGGTGACCTCCTTGGGGGAAGTGCAGTGGAGGTCTCTGAGTTCCATCCTGGCTCACCAAGACTAATGTCCATCTGCTTTCTGCTGCAAAGGAGGACAAGGGAAGTCCACACTGTTACATCAGAACCTCTCTTTTTTGCTCTTACCTGCTAAGTAAATTTTATTTGTGATCATCTCCAAGTAGATAAATAAACCTCTGTAAGTCACAATGCAATGTAGGGATGATCTCAACCCTTTAGTCCTAAAGAAGCTCAAGATACAAGCAAACAATGACAGGCCTCATGCAGGAACAATTAAAGTGATTCTGAACATTAATATAACAAAGGAATAACTAAACCAACCCTATGGTGTATGACTTGGCAAAGGACACACAATTTGGAATGAAAACCACCCTAATGGACATAACCAGAGGCTGTCAGCTTTACACTTGTGAGAATCAGCAAGTCACATTCCCTGTCCTAAATCTTCCTCATCTATCTTCACTGTCACTAGTAATTTAGCACAAATAAGGGAAACCACCTTGGGCTCTGGATCCTCTTGTAAGCATAATGCTCTGCATCTTGTACAATTTGAAAAGAATGTAAGTGAATTGGGTTCTTTATTTCCTTTTCCAAACCTGAATGAATGAGACATCTGGAGCCACCCGGACAGCAGAGAGGTCCCCAAGAGCAGGATGGCAAACCCCAGTCTGGTAGCTGGGGGCTGTGGCAGGACCACCAAGTGTCTGTCATCTTGTGCAAGCAACAAAACTGATGTTGTGCACGTGCCTGGCACCTGACACTGGAACAGCTTTCTCAGTGAAGAGCAACAAAGGCTGTCATGTTTCACATCTGCCACGTGATTCCATCCTTCCTATGGAAGTGCCACAGAGCACAGTGGTGATGCCTCTGACCAGCCAGTGAAATGCTGGACAGGCACAGAGGGGCCTGGGGAAGCTGCCTGAAGTGAGGCAAAGGGACCTGAACTAATGTGGCAATTGTCATCCTCTACCAGCCAGAACTCTGGATTTTAACACTCATGCCCATACATCCATAATTAGTCACAAGTGTTAATGACACCGAGGGATAAAAGCAAACATTGAAGTGGCTCCCCTGCTTATGTATTTTAAAGTAATATATATAAACTGTCTTCTAAAGCAGGCTCTTAGTTCAAAAGGTCCTTTAGTCCAATTGTAACTCAAATCTGACTCTAATAAAATTTCTAAATGTCCCTTGGTTTTGCCCTGTGATTTTGACTTAAGGCTTGTGGTAAGGAGAGCAGTGTGAGATGTTTTGTTCCAGATTTCCCTCCCTACACTGAGCAGAATGGGGTACTGAGAACTGGGTGGTCAGAGGGTGGCTCTGGTTACATGTGCTCCCCCTTTCTCCAGGTTGATGACCCCACTACAAACAGTGCTGACAGACCTGCTTTCCCACCTCTACTTTTTAGTACTGGTCAATGGATGGAGGCCAATGCTTATAAAGCCACAGCTTCTATGTTTGATACCTGCTGCTGACAGTCTCCCACAAGTGGTTTTCTGCACAGATACTTGGAAAAAAACAAAGCACACAGAAAAAAAACCAAAGAACACAGGAAGCAACTGACAGCTGGAGCAGTGTTAGGCAGAGGAGTTCTTACCAAGCCTTGCAGTGAAGACATCTGAAGGAGAAAAACGCTCGTCTCCTTTTGCCATAACCCCTAACAGGCACTGCACAAACGGGCAGCAGCAGCACGAGGGCTCCCCTGGCAGGAGGGGGCTCTGGGGGGGCCCAGCAGAAGGGCTGTGCTCACCTTGCTGATGGCAGTGGATGCAGACGATCTGGCTGAGCGGCACTATCAGCGCGTAGTCCCAGAAAACACTGAGGGGAAAGGGGACAGTGCTGGAAACATTTTTTTTTCCCCCCATATTCAGGAGCACTTGTACTTGCAAGCACCCAATAAAAAGATTCTGCCAAGTTAATAGTGGCTTATTAAGTTGGGTCAATTAAGACAAATTAATAGTCCAGTAAATGGCCAAGGAACTAGTTCTCCACAGTGGACACATCTGGCATCAGGCTCTTCATAATCCCCCTTTCCCTCTTCACCTCCCCGTCCCCCCTGCTGCCCCACACCAGGTTACAACAACATCTGGCTGAGTTCAAATGCCTGAGGCAGAGACTCCACGACGGTCCCATAGCTGGGTTCAGGACAGCAGGGTTCTGTTCTGTCTTGCACATGTGACTGATGGACAGCTGGGGCTCAAGCTTACAGACTGAACACTGGGAAGAGCTCTGAACCCTTGTGAGAGCCATCTCAACAGAGTTCAGCAATAAAAGCAAGGGTAGAGGGCTTCATTAATATTCTATTAAAAATTACATATCAAGTTTTAGAAATAGAATGGTGTGTCTCAAATTAAGCATTTGAGAGCACTGTTGTGGGGTTGGAAGAAGCATTCCCTGAGGAGACATATCTGCCTGGTTCAAGACTTCACCTGTCTTTCCATTGAAACAGCATGCCAAATTAAATGAATAACTGATCTAAGGAAAGACAGCAGCATTGGGTGTCTCTCTTTTGAGGCTGGTACTAGCCATACTTGTCGAGTGATTGGCAGCCCTCATAAGGGAGGTACTAGAAGTGCAGTGACAGAAAGTAGTGTTGAGCCTTTTCTCTTGAACCCCTAAAAAGCAGGGTTTTGTTTTCCTTTTGAAAAGGCCTTATATCCAAGTGCATTACAGGACCTCTGGAAAGTTGCTTCATCTGTGGCAAGACATGAACAGAACCCAAGCCATCTGACACCTCAACTTGAGTGCTACTCAGAAGCCCTTCAATTAAATCAGCCGTGTTACACTTGCATCATATTGCCAAGAATACATGAAATAAGCACCATGAATGCTTCCAATCTTTTCCTGAATGCAACAACTACCTTTTCTCCAGCTCAGAATCTCCAAGGGTTCCATTCATCAGCTGATTTGGAGTCCACTTTAATGTCAAGCTATCTGCTGACTGATGAAGGGAAAGATACCCAGGAATTGCCTCCAAGTCATCTTTCTGCTCACAGAAGCAACAAACAGACAACCCGGGTGACTCAAGTGCACAGTCAGAACAGTCACATTCCAGACTTCCTGTGCCCCTTAAGTTCCAAGCAGAGCATCACCTAGGAGCTGCTGAGGGAAACCTTAACACCAAAGTGCTGGTACTTATTGCTATCGGAAAGAGCAGAAAAACACACAGTGCAGTCTCTGGGTTTGTGACATACAGTCCAGTCTGTTTGGTTCTACCCACAGGCTCACTCCACAGCTCACACTGGTCAGGCAGCAAAAGTGTCTGTCACATCTCCCCCTGCCTCAGCGTAAGAGTGGAGCGGGAGGCAGCGCTGCCCTGGGGACAGGGCACCCAGCCAGCACCCGACAGCCCACGGCTCTACCCCTGCCTGCACTGCTGACCCCTCCCCTCACGGCCAGGCAACAGCTCCAGACAGAGCCCAGCCCCCAGCGTGCTCACCGGCTGGACTAAGACGTTGTTCTTCCCGTAGAGGAGGTGTGTCCGGGAGTTCTGGTGCAGGGACTCCACGTACTCCCTGGCCGCCGCCGCGCCGCGATCCTCCGCACCCCCGCTGGAGTGGCGCTTCCGGACCTGCGCACACAGCCCGGGCAGAGCGGGGCAGGGACCCCCCACAGCCCCCTCAGAGCAACCCCAGGGGACTGGAACTTCTTCTGCAGCCAGGAGACCGTGCAGAAAAACGGCCTGGGCTCTTACCCACCCCTGAGCAAGGCAGCTCATCATTTCTTGTGAACTATCGAGTCAGATCACAAGTGCCAAAAGTCACAGAATTTAGTCCTTGATTTCAAACTTTTCTGCATACAGATAAGAGGACATCTAGGTCCAAATGGACTTCTAATCTGTGACAAAGGCCCCATTACAGAAGAGAAAAAGAAGGCTGCTCTAGATTCAGGTCTCTCCCCCCTGGGGTGATTTTTATTATCAGCTGGTGCCTTAGCTCAGGAACAGCTGCAGAGTAAATACCTACTCCCAGGGCTGGGCGCTTCGAAGGGGAGTCCTGCCGGCCGTGTGCCCCGTGGATCCGGTGCCGCTGAACGAGCTCGTCTGCCGAGGGGTCTGTCCAATAGTGGTCTGCTGTTTTCAGCTTGGTGTACTCCAGAGCACACGGTCCAACTAAGAAAACAGCCCAAGAGAGAAACCTTCTGAGTCTCTTCAGAAACACACTTAGTCTCATCCTGCTGGCCAAGTACTGAAAGCAAGATTTCCTTCTCAAGCCTAATGAATATTACCAATCACTTAATGACCCTGCAGGATCAGCCAACAGTGTAGACAATACCTAAAATAACCTACCAGGTCCTATTAGCTAGGGCTGTATAAAAATATTCCTGTAGGACACAATACCCTGTCCTATCAGCATTAGTAGGTGCCATCTGCTAGCGAGCATTCACTAAAAAGCCATTCCTGTTCTGTTCTCTGAACCAATCAATAATTAATAATAAAACCAGATAATCTGTCTCTACTGGCATCATAAGCCACGAAACAGCATCTTCTGTGTTGTTCTATTACAAATAGTTAAACTACATGCTAGAGGTAAAAATCACCTTTTGTAACAGTGTCATAATACAAAATGTTTTCAGAAACAATTCATTTTCTCTATCATAAGAAGAGGTAACTTTGCAAGAACTCACCCAGAAGAGAAGCCAGTATTGGGCCACAAACAGGATCTGCCAGTAAAGCTTCTTTTTCATAATATTTACTAGGAATAAAAGATAAAAGCCCAGTTAAAAACACTGTTTGTTATTTTTAAAAGCTCTTTGCCTCCTAGTAGCGTAAGTCCCTTGACTTTAAAAATATCAGATTTCTGCTTAGCAGAAAGTATGCCAAGGGAAGCAAAAGGGACAAGGGCAGAGAAGCAGAGATGCTGCTCTTAACCCACACTCCCTTCAGCCTTTGCTGTGCTCCCCAGCAGCCAGGTGAAGTCAGCTGTGTGTGCAGGGGAAATCACGACTACTGCAGTCAGTTCCAGCTCAGCCTTTACACTTCACACAAAGTCAGGCCAAATGCTCGTTTCAAAAGCAAATTCAGACAAACTACCTACATAAAAGGGAAGATTTAAGAGTTTGGAACTCTAAGAGCTTTACCAAGGCTGAAAATGGGATCTAGGCCGTACATCTGGGGTGCTGCACACGTACTGAAGCAGAACACATTTTCAGAGCTTGGGTTTAGTCACAGTTCTAACACAAAAATTCCAGCAACAGAATTTTGCTGTGATTATCAAACACAAACTCTCACGCAACAGCCCAGTAAGAACACTGTGTATCTAAACAGTCAGAGGCAGCACCGAAGGGATCAAACTCCTGATATATTTCCTGAACATGGCAGGCAGAGGAAAAGCAGTTGCTAGGATTGCCTAGAAATCATTGATGTGTGCATCTCCTCGAAAAGCTCCAGTGGAGCTTGACTGATCTCGTAAAGAAGAGATGCTGTGTTGGGTTTGCAGGTACAGAAGGGTTTTACAATATGGTGCATCCTGAACTATTTTTAAAGATCATTAAAATATATCCTATAAGCTATGGAGAAATGAATTTATTCTGTTTTAGACATCTGCTTTAGAATCAGATCCTCTCCTGAACTATATCAATAACACTGACTAGATCTCCATGGAGTCTAACAGGAGCCTAGAACAACCAGTTCAACAAACCTGCACTCCAGACTATTTAACAAGATGACCACACCCCTAGCTTGGGTCCAAGTTCTGCCCTTGACCAGCCGTGTAATCTCAGGCAAGTCACCTCCTCTCAGTAAGCTCATCCTGCCTCATCTATTTTTGATCTGAGCTCTTGAAAGGCAGGAGCTTGCCTTTTGCTAAATGTGTTTACCCAGTGTATTTGATTTGGGGCTTTGGGCATTAATGCAATATGGAGACAAACAATAACTCTCTCCAAGCAATTCTGTGAGTTTTCCACAGGGACCAAGAGATCCACACATTCTTAAACACCCCTTCCATCTGTGAGGAATAATCTTGAAACGCTGTCAAGAAAAATGAACTTCTACAAATCGTGGCTCTTGCAATGACCCCAAAGTCTTCCCATCACAGCAGGCAAAGCTAACCTACAAAACTACGTAGCCAAAAAATCAAACCCCAAATTTCTTGAACTCTCATGGTCCTCTGCTGTCTCTTCCACTAGATGGGGCTCAAACTCCAAACACCTTTTCTTCCTCAAGAACAGAAGAGCTGAAGGACTTGAACATGGAGTGTTTGAGCAGTAATGGCACACAGACACATGAGAAGCTGCCTTATGAAGCATTCAGTTTATTCACTGAGTGAAGTTCTCAAAACCACACACCTGTAATTAAGGACCTGACTCGAACTCAACTGAGTGGATGGAGAAGGCAGTCAGGTGAACATCTACAGTACACAGTAATGAAACAACTGAGCCCGAACTCTCCTGACATCCCTCCAGGTGAATTATGTGAAAAAAGAAATTAAAACAACCTTGTATCCATGTATCAGCACACACTGAAACCCTGCACTAAGATGCTTTCATTAACTGCATCCCTGGGACACAGCCAACCCTCCCACTGTCTCTGAGGCACACAGCTCTTAAAACAAACTGGCATTAGATATCCCAGAGCAACAGTTTCCTCTGAACAGCACAAAGACCTTCCTTCCACTCTCTCTTTTTAGTGGCAAGAGAGATCATGCAATTAAACCTGATGACAAGGAAAACAGCTATGCAAACCTGGAAAACACTGTGAAAATAAGTTCCTCTGCCCTAGCTCTCTTCCTTGTTCTGACCCATAGGCTTTGGACAGCCAAGTACATGTGTCCCCAGAGTGGAATTACAAGAGCACCACTGTGAACAAAGTGCAATGGCAACAGGTACAGATGTTACCTTTCCAGCACCACGTCAAGCTTTAGGGTTTCTACTTTTCTCATGGGAAATTGTCCCCTGTGCACTCTACAATTCCTCATTATCAGTTCCGGGAGGGTAAGATGGGGAGGAAGGGTAACAGTTAAGAACCACCTCTTGGGAATCCAAAGCTAACGCTGGACACTAGGAAACAACCAAAGAATAGAGAGGGTTTGTCTTTCCCTCTTGAAGAGTCCCTGTACATTACATCCATAAAGCACTGGTGCTTTCCTCCAACTCTGCAAGGGAAGAGTCACTTTACACAAAGCTTGACTCTTCTAGAAGGGAAACATGACTCAAAGAACCTGTTTTCACAACTCTAAGGTTTTATGTCATTAACTCCTGTTCTAAACTAATTTTCTATAAACCTGGGACACTGTCAAGGATTCAAAACAAAAGTACAGGTTTTTTTCTAAATGCCTGTGCAGCTGTTTTTCTTCTTACCAGAAGTCTGCAGAAGACTTTTGTTGAAATCTCTTCTTGCAGGTACCCAAACACATCAGTCCAAGAAATCCCTGTGCTTCTGATTGTTTCCTTACCTGCAGTTATCAACAATATACTGCACAATCTTGTCGAGCACTTTCTCAATCAATGCTGTCCGAACCCAGATGTGTTTGATGGCCTGAGGTGTCAGGACGGGTGCTTTGCTTGTGGTTGATCCCTGCCTCTTGAGGGGCTCCTGCCCATTTGGCTGATTTTTCCTGCAAAAGGAGACAAAGTAAACGTAGCCAGAATTCAGACTCTTCTCACAGAAAGCTCTCCAGTGAAGGCTGCATGGAGAGGTGTTGGAGTACACAGCACATATCTGATACAGGCTAATCTGTATACCAGCTGTCTACACTGCTGTGTTAGCACTCACTGCCACTGGGGTGCAGAGTTTTAGCCAGTCCATCACCAGGGATTTTCTGAAAATCATGGAGATAATGATTTAGGATGCCTCTGTTCTGAGTTATGAATAGGAGAAGTCTGTGAAGATTATCTAACTCACAGGCAGATGCTAAACAAGCTCTAAAGAAATCCCCCAAACAGGTCTGTATCAGGTGTCTTGGGCTAGGCAGTCACCTACCAAAACCATCTTCTCTGTTTCTGTTGCTGGGTTGAAATGGACGGGCTGTGAATCCACTGCAGACCATACACTCCAAAAGAATGAAACAACAACAAAATGCAAAGTGTAGCAGACAATATGTAGCACCTGATGAACAGAACTTGCCTTCTTATCAAACAGCGCTTCACACTCACTTGGGCCAGGCACAGGGAGGATGGTAAAAGGAAGATCCTTGTCTCCCAGCCGTGCCTGGTTCCATCAGGCAGAAGCTGCCTGTGACCCCGAGAAGGCACACGGCTGTTTCCACATGAGACACCCCCACTGACACCAGGAGCATGGAGTAGGAGATGAGGTAACACAGGCAAAGCGTTTCCAGGGACCTCCTGCCACACCATCCACAGGCAATCCCTGGGCACAGGCCCATCTTCCCATTCTCTCTCCAGCACCATATATAGCTACAGCACAGTCTGTGCTTGCGTGTTGGCAGCAGGATCCCATCTCCTGCCACCTACAGAATGACAACAAGACAACCAAGAGATAAGTAGCATCAAACTGAGAACCTACAAGTATAGCAAATGAGCATCCGGAGCCAGCCGGGAGCCTGAGGCAGCCGAGCCCCTGCTGCCCCAGCAGCCAGCCCAGTGCCAGCCCAGCGAGCTGCCCATGCCCAGCAGCCCTGCCCCATGCAGCTCCAACACCACCACGGCCTCTGAGCCACACGGGCACTCCTCACTCCTCTCTGTGGAGTACCTGCTGCCCAGAAGCTCTGCCTGGCCCCAGCCCGAGGCGGGCTGTGCCCCTCGGTGTGCCAGGTGTCCTGCCCACCACCACACAGCTTCACGGGCTTGGAGCTGCAACTTGCACCAAGTCAAGGAGCAGTTTTGTGCCTTCTCAGCACAACACGTGCTCTTATCCATGCTGGCTGTCCTGCCACAGGGAGCATCTGCCTCTCATCCATCGAGCACTAGTGTCCAAAATCCGTGTCCACACTGACATCAATGCTCCCTTCACTTCTTCCGTGGCACTGACACAAATTATCACCTGTCACTCTTGAGATAATTAATGGCAGACTTGGAACCAGAGACTGAATTTGAAGCTGAACATGCTGTCTAGAGCCTTCCAGTTTCTCAAAGGTGACCCACAAAAAGGAAAATGGGTTTGTCCTTTCCTGCCTAGCAAAGCAGCTGAGAGGTGAATTCGTGTTCCCCTCCTCCCTCCCTGCTGCCTCTGCCTGCAGCATGACTTAGGTGGGAGGAGATGACAACACTGCTCTGCACTGAAAACCCAACATGCAGCAACAAGTCACAGGGCACAATCTCACAAGGTGGTACCAGCCACACAGAGCCTCCCATGATGGCACTGGTGGGGCACTGCCCCAAGCCTTCCCATTCCAAAATACATAATGTGGGTACACCTCGTGCCCACAGGATAGCTGGGGGTGAGGCTGTGCCAGCCCTGCCACAGCGTGAGATGATGTCCTGTGATGGGTCCATCTTCCAGGTAATAAAATGCAGCTGGAGGAGAAAGGTGGAACTTAAGGTGGAGCACTGGGAGAGCTTCCTAATTCTGCCCAGTATTGCCTCTCCTTACACTGCACAGGGCTGACAGGGGAAGACCTTCTTAATCTCTTTCCCAGAAAATTTTCCCTTTAAAACAACAGAAAAAGATGGTTCTGTTTTGTCCTAATGAGGAGAGAAACTCTGATGTCTTCAACAATCTGCAGTAGAAAATCCATGTTCTCAGATGATCCTGTTCTTTGACAGCACTCAGGTCTCCCCTCAGGAAGGTGTTCAAAGAGTAAATAGACTTGTTGGGTGCTGGTTTGAGGGAGGTCTGTAATTCCTCTCTGTGTTTCCACAGTCCCTAGTTCTCCAATAGGCCATGACAGCACTTCTACAAGGCAATGAACACGCAGTGACAATCCCATGCCAATAAACACATGACACCACTGACATCAGAGGAACTGAAATGTGTTTAATTGCCTCCTAAACAGGGGCTTTCTTAAGCCACAGCCTTAGGAGCAATTAGACTGCTACAGCAGTTCTGCCTCATTTTATACACCCAGTGAGGCGAGTCCACCCCCTGCAGCATTTCCTAATAGAGTCTCTCTGCTGTGCATATTTTCTACAGAACTTAAAATCTGTGGTTGTTAATAGCTGAAATGCACAGAAAATTTCTCCAAGAGAAACCACACAATTTAAGTTCATTTGCTCCTGTTAGAGGACACAGCCAAAGGTCTCTGGTGGTTAGAGCAAGGTTCATGTGGGCTCTTAACCAAGAAGGAAGGAAGGCTGGTGAATTTTCAGTAGAAATCATCCTTCTTCCCAACATTTACACAACTAAATTGAATAAAATCCTATTCTATATCAATGGGCACATAATTTAAAAAAATATCAAAAATAGGTACACATTTGTTCAAAACTACATAATGAAGTCTGTTAATTGTAAGCCTGATAAGTTCCAGAAAGTTACATAGAAATCTTAGTAAAAGTTCTAATTTAAACAACTGCCAATAACTGAAGACCTCAATGCAACACATACTGAAGTTAAACCCTCTTGACAAAATCCTCATAGACTAAGTCAATCAAGAGGCTAAAAGTTCCTACAGTCTTTTAGGGCTTAGCAGTGTGACTGCACTACCGTCTACACACAGAAGAAGAAACACTCTTGTCCCAAGTTTACAGTAGAAGACACTCATCCCACAGGCTCATGCACTATGATTCAGCCACCAGAACCACAAAGAGCATTTTAATTGCACTGCACACCACCAGCCAAAAGTTTAGGACCTTCAGCAATCTCAAGCCCTTGACTTCAGCATAAATTCAGTTGTGCTCAACTCCAGTGTGTACTTAACGGCTCTCCTATGATCAGTCTCTCACTGCTGACCACCTCTTCTGGAGTTCATCCATCCTCCTATCACTCTTTGTATCCATTAACACAGCTATTCCTACTGTAAGACCCATAATTCTTCTGTTATTGGTTTGGCAAGGAGCATGCCAAAACAGCTTTTCCAGTAAGTCTGTTGTTCAGTTCCTCTTGGCACCCACATCCCTTCCCACCACCAGTCCAAGCTGTCCAGCATACCCTGCCTCGGAGCCCTCTGAAATCACCAGCTATTATTCACTTCTGCTGCTTTGTGGGGGCTGGATGTGCTGATCTGTGACACAGAGAAGGAAAACGAAATGCCAAAGACCCAGTTCCCAACCCCTGCTGGGTCACCTTGGCCAAAACACCACCCGCCTTGTAGACAGAGACACCACGGAGGCCCAGACAGGCCCCTCTGCCCTCCGGGAGCAGTCCCTGCAGCCCCTCCCCGCGTTCTGCTGGAGCCAGACCCCGGCCTCACCTGCTCTCCACCTGCTGCTGCAGCTCCTGCACCCTCCTGCAGATGTCCCCGGCCACCGCGTAGGTCTTGCCCACCTTGGTGAAGAGCGCGGCCACCTTGTCGGTGCGCAGGAAGCCGGCGGCCCTGCGCCTCAGCATGTGCAGCAGAGAGGCCTCCACCGCGCCTGCGGGGGAGAACACGGTTACCGGGGGCTGTCCCGCCCAGCCAGCGCTCCGGCCACCCCCGCGGGGCAGGGCTGGGCTCAAGAGAACAGGGGAGGGGGAAGAGATGTCAGAGACAGACTAGATCTGAAAATCAGATGCTGCAAGCACAGGTCGGCAACAATAAGCACCTTGTAAGTTATGGGTAACATCAGAACATAAATGAACCAAAGCACTGAAACACCAACCAGTATTTTTGCCCAACTTTATGCAAGTCGCTGTGAAAGAATTCCTCATTCTACTAAAAATGAGGAAAAACTCTTCTCAACTCCTCGTGGCAGGTCCCCCAACTCAAGGTATAATGAGCTGGAAATCTGCTTTTACTGATGATGGCTTGTTTTGAGCAGAGACTCCTATTTATCTCTGAGTTGCTGCATCCAGTTCTCCCACTTGTATTTCTCCATCTGCTCTGGTGTTTGCAGTGAGGACTAACTGGAGGTCACACTTCCCGGTTATTTGCTACTCAGTTTTTAAAATCATGTTGTAGGAATTTTAGCACGGGCCTTTGAAGGGTGATCCTGGTAAGAAGGCATCTCACAGAAGTGACACAGAGTTCAGTTTCAAAGCTGATCCCCAGTTGCAGACGGGGGGAGACTGCAGCATCTCACCAAGGACTGGCAGGCAGCCGACGGCCGCGCCGACCGGCAGGGAGCTCAGACCCCACTGACTGAGACACACGGGGGGACCCACGGCCCAGGTAAGGCTACAGCAGAGTTAGAGCTGCTTTCATTATGTGTTCATTGTTTGAAATGTCACACTCGAGACAAAAGCACGAACTGCTCCTGCAGTGCTGCTGCCTGCAGAGCTCTCACTGCGTGGTGACTAACACAGAACTCGGAGGAAGGAGGCTGGGTGAGCAGAGGTGCACAGGATCAAAGCCAGAGCTCCACCTCCAGCACACACGTAACCCACAGGCAGGGGAGTGAGATCACAGCTGAGCTGCTTTCTGGAGAGTCCTGTGTAGGTGTTTTGGTGAACCCCTGGTTAGGACACTTGCTGGACTGAAACCACAGGGGCTACTGGGAAACAGAGGAGACTGAACAACACTGCTAGGGGAGGTAAACCCCTCCCTAAACACTGGAGATCATGACAGGACAATAAAGCCATAAAACCTGGTAAGACAGGCTCATGTTCCAACAGAGCCCATCATCTAGCTTTGGACAGAAAGATTAAAAGGCCTATAAACTGAGAAGAAAACGTAATACTGCTTCACCCTGAGAGGGAGCAGAGATGCAGCCAGACTTACAGCTCCAACAGGTCCACCTGCAAGGTTCATTTTGCTCACCCTCCTGGAACATGCTCTGATGGTCACCAGCAAAAGACCACATTGCACTACTTCAGCCATGCAAGGCTGTGCATCAGAGACCTAACCAGCGCTCATTTAAACTGCAGCAGGAAAAAGAAACAAGAAAAATACAAATAATAATAATAAAAACCCAAACCAACAACACAAAACAAGCCTTTCCTGCTACCAGCTTTTAAATTGAGATTGCAGATGACTCATCCAGTCAACAGCATCCATAAAAAGCTATGAAGGAGAACAGACAAATTCATTCATAGGGAAAGGGAAAAAAATCCAACTTTATTAGAAGGTGTGTACTCACTGAAACCCAGGCAGGCATGAAACCCTCACAGGAGGGGTTGGGTTCAGCATCTGAGTGATGCTCTCCTGTGTTTAATGACAGCAGGCAGTCCTGTGGTAAATTGCACTTACAATTGCCACATTAAATTTTTGTTACGAGTAACAAATGGTACTCCATCTGCTCTGGTCCTCGCTGCACCTCTCCCAAGATTCAGCAGCTAATTTTGAAAGAAAACAGTATTTTGTTGTGCTTTAAGTCCAACACTGTCAGGTGCTGGGCATTTCCTGAAGAGTCTCCCTCTTTATTGTGCCTCCAAATCCCACAATACCTAAAAGCCTGCACCTGAAAAAGACCTGTGCTCCCTGCTCAGCCCCTGTTCCCAACCTAAGCCCCAGGCAGGAGGGAACAGCTGAGCTGGCCTGGAAGCCACGGCAGTGGGGGATCACAGGGTGTGTCTGGATGGAAGAGCATGAGTGAAAACCTCCCTTCTCCCCCAGCCCCTTCATCCCCAGCACTGCTACCCCATTGCTTTGCAAGACCAGAGAATGCCCTGCTGAATGAACCAAAAGAAAAGAAAAAAAAAGGAAGCATTTGTGAGGTACTAATAACTTCACATTTGGTGTCTTATCACACTGGAAAAAGGAAAATACTAATTGGCTCCCTGCTATCAGTCACGACACAAATTAACCTAATGGGTGTTCAGAAAGCACAACTGTTGGCTCTGAGTGAGAAAACAGCACCAGGAAAGTAACTGGAAATGTGCTGTGGGACAACCACACCACTGCTGCTTTTGGCTGTGAAGGCAGACATGTTTTTAAGCCAAGTAACTTTGGATAAAATCTGACAGAAAGATAAAATTTGCCTGGAAAGCCTTCATTGCCCATGAGACAGACAGTGCAATTAAATACTGATGGTCTGGGGATTTGGGATTATTAATTTTTAACAATTTATATCGAGATACAACTAACCCAAGTAAGCAAAGCCAAGTCTGATTGCATACCCTGAATTCATTCTTTGTAAAACCGAGAAGTCAACATTCTCTCTTCTCTTCCTTCCTAGTCCTAAATTTATTTGGACTGCAAATTCTTCAGAATACTTTTAATATATTCCCTTATTGCACAACCTATAAGAGAACCACTGCAACCGACACTTCGATTTCATCTTCAGATGACACAGGTACTATTTTAACAGTCTCTTCCCAAGCTGCCTTATCTGAAACATGCCATTTCAGTGCCTCAGACAAGCATGCCAAGAGCACAGGGCTGTGCTGCACCGTGCTGTGCCCAGCTTCCTCCAGCACCCGCAGGGGGACGACACCAAACACGGGCAAACCCTCCAGACACAGAGTGCCACCTCCAGCGAGGCACTCGGGAGACTGGCAGCCCCTGTGGGAAGCAGGACAGCTGGGGCCAAGCACACCGTGTGTCTCGTGCACTTACTGACCATGAAGGACTAGTTTTTTTGTTTGTTTTGTTGCTCAGTTTGGGGGCTTTATCTTATTTTAATAAATAAGAGCATTTGAGCAATCACAGCATTTAGATGTCTGCAGCAGGAACACTCATGCTATGCCAATCCACTACCCTCTCCTGTTTCCAAGGCAAATGGGCAAAGCTGCTATTGTGTTAGAAATTGGACAAAATAAATACTGGTCCATCCATGTTCTTTCCATGTTGCTGTAGCCCAAATAACACCTCACGGAGTGGCACAGCAAGGTATTCAGACACTTCTACACCCACTACCTCCCTGGAAAAATAGTGTGATTCACCTTTATTTGTGATGCCTCATTTAATTGCTTATTACCTTCCAGTTTCATTTTACACAACACTGCCAAACTCCTCTTTGGGTAGGTGAATAAACTACCCTGCAGTCTGAAACACTTATTTTTTGATAAGTTGTTACTTTCTGTGTTAGACTAAGGCTCCACTGCATCAAGCACTGTATACACACGTACTGAGAGACAACCAAACACACATAAATAACACTGATAAAAGTAGAAGAAAATATGTACACGTTTATCCCACTTCTTGCAGTGAGACAAGAGCATTCTTGAAGACTTAAAAGACTTATCATCAGGAAGTATTCCTGAAAGGAGGACCAGGATGCATGGGCACACCCCTTCTTGACCCCTCTCAGCAACCCACTTATGCCAGGAGACCCCTGCTGCAATCAAAGGCTGTCTGTAGGTGGCAAAGGCAACGCCTGTGGTCTTAGATGAGGACACCTCTGCAAGCAAGGCTGTCTCTGCTCAGAGGAAGAGGAGCCCCTGTGATCCAACACAGAGGCAGCAGCGGGGGGAGCAGTTTGGCTGCTGATGGGGTTTTGCCAGGCCAGGTGGGAGAGTGGCACGGGAAGAACAGTGAGTGCTGACAGCATGGGGATGTTCTTCACATCACAGTCACAGACCCTGTCTAGCAACCATCACGACAGCTCTTAACCTAGCTACTGTTTTGCTCTGTCTTTCAATTAGAAGAAAATGAGAAAAGCAAAGCAGATTTCCGGATGCCTGAAGCAATGTAGCAATAATTGGCTCCAAAACTTAAACGAAGCAACCTGCCTTTAAAAATAACTGCAAAGAAGTGCATTGCTGTTGCTTAGGAAACAGGCTCTCTTCCCACCTTCACCGTGGTTTTTTTTTTCTTTTCTTTCTTTCATTCTTTCTTTCTTTCTTTCTAACAATAAAATATTAATGAAACAAATTTAGTGAAAAGCGCAGCAGGCACAGCTTTAATTATTAATAAATGTTGCAGCTGCCACAGAGGGCAATTTCCACACTGACTGTCCCTAAAGTCTCAATGTTTAATTATTCCATTGTGACATTTCTTATCACAAAGACCTGGCGTAACATCAGTCAGTCCCAGCTGACTGCAGTGCACGTGCAGTGGTTATCTGCAGGGGCAGAGACACTGGCACTGCTGCTGGATTGCCTCAAAATGTACGTACCAGGGGATGAGAGATCAACACACCGTGTCCAGTTCTGTGTGTAAGGCACCCTCTGAGCTGGTTCAGGGTATAGTCCCTGCCTGCATGACCTTCAAGTGCCTTCACTCTCCTCCACTTCCCCCACAGACTGAGGTTAACAGTACTGTCTGTCTCCAACTTTTCTCTCCAGGCTCCTTTTTCACAAGGGAATTATTACAGAACAGTGACTTTAAATCCACATCCCACCCAATCAGAATTACCTTCCAAACACACAGTGGCTTTTATCCACTTAAACTACACAACATGTGAGGAGGGCAGTGCATCTTGCAGCACAGATGTCCTCCTGTTCCAGCCCAGGGGATGGCACAGATGTCACCTGTGCAGCACAGACGGCAGCAGGGGACCTCCCCAGCACAGCCACAGCAGCTAGTTGAAGAGGTCAGCTGCCTGCAGAGGCAGGG